TATTATTATTTTTTTTTTTTTCGTATATTTTATAAAATCTTAAACACTGGTTTTTATTAAGATATATTAGATAACTATAAAAGCTTAATAATATTTTAAATTTATTTTATTTTAGGGGACCATATTATACCATATTATTTGTTTATATCGACCTAATATTATAATATACGAATATATATACATTTGTATTTTTTATTATGTTTAAAATCTTATATAACTAATTTATTTATTATAATAGTTTAATGATAGTTTTAATTTTTTTTTTTTAATTTTTTTGCGGCCTTTTTATAATATTTATTTATACTTAATAACAAAATTGACTTAGTATAATTAAGCGAATATATATATTTTTTTTTTTAAATAATATTTAAATCTTATATGAATTTAAAATTTTATTTTTTTTCGGCCTTTTTATTATTACTCAATAATAATATCGACTTAACGTAATTATGTAAACATATATTTTTATTTTTAGTGATGTTTAAAATCTTATTTGATTTATTTATTATAATTGCTTAACAATATTTGTTCCTATTTTTCCGGGCAACATAATATTTATTTTTTTTTAAATAATAAAATAATAATGTAAAAACAAAATTAAATGAATAAATGCGTCACATAAAGTATTAATATATAATGTATATTGGACGACCGGTTTCGAATTCAAAATTCATCATCAGGTAAATTACAAAGTCAAAAAGTAAAACGCGACTGAATACGAAAAAAACGAATGAAGAATGAATACATAGGTACAATATTATACAAATCGTTCATTTTACATAGAAATAAAAACTCGTTTTAAATAATTTCTCCTAATAAAAAAAATTATTTTTTATAAAAAATGACCAATTCGTCAAACTATTTCTATGTATATTCTATGTAGATTCCTTCATTTACTTTTTCATATTCAGTCGCGTTTTACTTATTAACTTAGTGATTTAACTGATGATAAATTTTTAATTCAAAACAGGCCATACAATAATCTTACATGCCCCAGGCGACGCAGTCATTTATTTATTTATTTCTAAATGTAAATTATTTATTTATATATTTATTTTGTATTAATATACTTAAAATATATTAAGGAAATGTACAAAAATATTATCGACTTAACATAATAATAGGCGAATATTTTATTTTCAAATAGTATTTCAAAACCGTATACAAATTATTTAATATAATCCTCCTTGATAATAAAATGCTTAATTTGATTCTTTTACCATTTCCCGACAAGTTTTTTTTTTTTTATTATTATCCCGACTGTTTCGCATCCCGTTTTCTCAATAAAAAGCAGTGTCTAGCCCTCCTCCGACAAATTACGACAGCGGGATTAGCATCGGCCTCATTTCCCGATAAAAGTAGCAAAAGAATTATAATGGATCATAAAAAGTAATTTCCACATCGCTAATTATCGTCTATGCATTTCGATTTTTGATTTACAACGCTGTTTTCCCAATATTTTTTTTTTTTTTTTTTATATTTGTATAAAAATTAATATTTTTTTTTTTTATCTTTTTACCTTTTATGATTTTTTTTAAATAATTTTTCTTCTTAACTATGTAATTATTATTTATTTAGTATAATATAATAAAATTGTAATAATAATTAAAAATATAATTTTTTTTATCATTAATGAGAAATTTTCTCAGAGGATTTTTAATGAATTGGTTTTGTGTTTTTATAATCAATGTGAATCGTTTAAGCATTATTTTAAAACTATTTTCAATATTTTATCCCTACTTCATATACCTCAAATAAGTATATATATTTGTTTTTCAAACACGAACCTCTTTTTGAACACAGATCTGAATATAGAATATTTTTCTAGATATTTTAATATGCATAACACTAATATAAGATTTACCATTCATAAGTTATAACCGTTTGAAATTTAGAGTGAAGAAGAGTATACAATTTATCATTTCATAATAGACTTGCAATTATCATTACCCTTCTCTACTCCCCCGTCATTAACTTTAAACGGTTATAGCTCATAAATGATAAATTGTATATAATTGTTAAGCATAATAAATTTGCCGGAAAAATATTCTCTATTCAAATCTGTGTTGCAAAAGAGGTATTTCCGTTTAAAAAATATACACGTAAATTAAAAACGAGTGCAAGATAAAGCTTAAGCGATTCCACAATGAAAAATCAGAAATTAAATTCACTTAAAATCCCCTAAGAAAATTATCGGTTTATGATAAAAAAAAATTACCCTGCATATTACTGCAGTTGATTGAACACATGACCATAATGTTGGTGGCATTAACAGAGTATTGATTCTTATAATATTGTTTTATCTATACGTCATATAACCTATAATATTAAAGGGATAAACATTTTTTTCAAATAATTTTTAAAATATTATAAATAGTGTATTTAGTAATATTATATTATATTTTAGAATCGTAATAATTTTTAAACTAATTTTGATATTTATTGCTCATATATATAATATTAGATTAATAATATTTACAATATATTACATTTCCTTATTTTTAATGATATGTATGTATTGATTGTATATATATTTTATATTCAAAATCGATTAGTATTTAATTATAATTATTAATTTATTTAAATATATAAACATATTATACTTGTCTTAAAGGTACGTTAAATGTCGGAATATTTAATTATGAACATTTTTTTTTCTTAAACAATTTAAAACCGTATTTTATTAATGTCTTTTAAATACGATATTATTATAGTGCAATTAGAATTATTACGATTGTATGTGAATTAATGTTACAATATTGCACTTATTATATTATGTGCGGAATGATACATTTAACTGTCTACAAAAAAATATTTTTTTTTAGGGTTTGGAACGTCTGCCTACTTTTGATAGACAAATGGCAACCTATATTTAAAATTCCATAGAAAAATATTAGTTTACACACATTTTCGTATAGAATTTTTCGATTTCTTTCAACCCGTTTATGAGATATTCCACTTTTAAGTTTAGGAAATAAGTAGCGGGGCATAATTATGCCGCAAAACAAATGATGCTCCACTAGTCTCCCCTACCCAAACTTTTAGTAGAATATTTCGTCAACGGGTTGACGGAAATACAAAATGTCAACACCAAAAATTTATTTGAACTGATTTTCCTATTATTTAAAGAATTTTCAAGATAGATTACCGTATGAAAAATAAAAATAGTCTGCCTTTTCACCCACATAAATAAGAGCGATAAAAAATAATGATAGTTTAACATTTCAAAACTGCATATTTCTTAAATAATTAAACAAAATATTCCAGAAATAGTCAACACTTTTTAAATATCGAGTTTATACACTATTTAATGGATTACTCTTAATTTTTTTTAAATTTGATTTATAACTGAAAAAGTGAATCATAACCTAACCTATATTTGAGGACCATTTAGCATTACCCGGGGGACACCGCGTGGAGGCGGTCCTCGTTGTCCCCCAAAAATGTTTTTCCCTAATAACCATTTGTCGATATTTTGTAGATCAAAAAGTTGTTTTATATGATATGATCGACCACCGTAAATTTATTCTATTTATAACCAGAGTTTTGTTTTTTTTTAGGTTCTGAACGAACTGTTTTTTTTTTTTGGTTTTCGTTTTTTTTTTTGGTTTTCGTTTTTTTTTTATAATATAAATAAAATCGATAGATAAAGATAGATGTCTACTGCGGGTTATTGTATTATATAACATCAAACCTTTATCATACAACTTAATTTATCGCGATTTTATATTTTTTTCACATGTTCTGGTTGCAATTGGTTTTTGTTTTTTTTTTTTTTTTTCAAATATATAACGTAGTTTTTAAATACAGTGCGTTTTGTTTCAAAAGAATAGAAAAAATAATAATAATATTCAATAATTCATTGATCCGAAATAAATGAAAAAAACAGGTATTTAGTGAACCTTGGAAAAATAATATTTTTACTGTCGCTATGCCGTACGAAACATAATGTGCATTGAACAATAATAAAACAACCCGAAAATCAATAATTCTTCTTAGATAATATTAATAATGTCAAGTTTCGTTAAGATAATTTTATATCCCGTTGTTCTCTTATAAAGGTTACACAACTCTTTTTCGAAATCATCGCTTGTTGATGATTAACAATAATAATATAACGATGTGAATACAAAATTGATTTTAGTTCTTCTTCTGCGAGAGATTCAGTGTGCAAAATAAAATCATTTTCACCGGTCGTTAAATCCGATAACGCGGATTGAACGTGAATTGAAACGTTTTTACTAAATTACCTGCAAAATATTATTACCATATACCGTTGAGGATTTGGATTTGTTGGATTATAGATTAAGAATGAAGTGTTTAGGTGTACGCTAAAGAAAAAGTCGTATAGATATAAGTGTACTACAGTGCAATATTTATTTTACTAACAATGTAATCACACATTTTTTTTTTTTTTTTATTTTTACCACATTTTTATATGCGTTTTTAAATTTTACAAATATCATCATTGTGATGTGCAGTATAATTATATAAATGTGCTTATGTTATATTTTATTTATTACATTATAATATTTTTTTTTTTTTAATTTTACTTATTGTCATCATTATGACGTACAATATATAATTATAATTAAATCAATGTGCTTACATTTTTTTTTTTTTTTTTTTTTATACTACATTATAATGTTTTTTTTTAATTTCATCTATCGTCATTATTATGACGTACAATATATAATTATAATTAAATCAAGTGCTAACATTTTTTTTTTTTTTTTTATACTACATTATAATATGTTTTTTTTTTAAATTTTACTTATTGTCATTATTATGACGTACAATATATAATTATAATTAAATAAAGTGCTTACATTTTTTTTTTTTTTTTTTTTTTTTTATACTACATTATAATATGTTTTTTTTTAATTTAATCTATCATCATCATTGTGACGTGCAATATATAATTATAATCAAACCATTGTGCTTACATTTGTAACATTTATAACTTTAAATCGTTTACGTACGCACGTAGTTACTATACGAACAGCAAATCTGTAACGACACCGTTACAACGCGTAACCATAAATAATATTACATCTGTATTGCGGAGAACGCGGAACGGCGTGGTTTTAGCGGTTTATACCGTACGTGACGGGGTGGGAGGGGCGCGCGCTCGTTATTATCGTTATGACGTCAGCGCGTACGTAGTGCAGACGATAACATCGATGTACGTGTCGTTTCCGATAAACGTATTAACGGGGATGACGGGGACGTGAATTATACCGCGGTCGTCGTGGTCGTGGTCGTCGTCGCGGTCGTCACGAACCGGGAAGAATAACCGACCCGCGTACAGGTGGCCGATCGCCGCGATTAACAATGTAATACGAAATCGTCGCGTGCGAGAGTTTTACGCGCCCGGCCGTTACGCGGGGCCCGGCGATTTCGGATCCGTCGGCGTCACCGCGCGAAAACCCACTCGTCTCGCCCGCCGCCAGTGGGGAAACGTAAACTTTCGGATCGCGCCGCGTGCCGCACGCCGTAATGTTCAGCGACGTTTGATGGTTTCGATGTCCGGGCGCGATCGCGACCGTAGCTGGGACCACCGCGTGAAAACGTCTGTGGAAAAACGCAGTTTTCGGATCGCGTCGCGTGTCGCGCGTAACCGGCACCGTGTGTAGCGCGTAACCGGCACCGTGTGTATCGCGTAACCGGCACCGTGTGTATCGCGTAACGCACACCGTGTGTATCGCGTATAGCACGTGGTTGTTTTTTTTTTTTTTATTATTATTATTGTACATTAATTTTTAGACGAATTTTTTGTCCTGTTTTTTTTTTTTTTCTGTTTACACAGGCCCGCCGCCGCCGTTAATACGTTTCTCTAGCCCAATCTCCTCTCTCTCACTATATATATACGTATTAAACGCGCCCCGCCGCAAGCGCCGTACCGCGCGATAAAACGACGTCACCGGTCCGCTATGCGCGTTTTCCGTTTAAAATACATAGTAATACCGCAGATGGCAACGCATTTTATGACATAGAATTTTAAGAGCAACATTATTATATATTAATATACTTAAAATTAATATTATTATATAGTTTTTTTTTTTTTTTTTTGAAACTTATATTATTATAATATGTGAATATAATTAAGCAACATTAATTATTATATAATTTACTTAAAATTAGTATTATTATATAGTTTTGTTTTTTTTTTTTTTTTTTTTTTTTGAAACTTATTATAATATGTGAATATTATTAAGCAACATTAATTATATAATTTACTTAAAATTAATATTATTATATAGTTTTGTTTTTTTTTTTTTTGAAACTTATATTATTATAATATGTGAATATAATTAAGCAACATTAATTATATAATTTACTTAAAATTAATATTATTATATAGTTTTGTTTTTTTTTTTTTTGAAACTTATTATAATATGTGAATATAATTAAGCAACATTAATTATATAATTTACTTAAAATTAATATTATCATATAGTTTTGTTTTTTTTTTTTTTTTAAAACTTATATTATTATAATATGTGAATATAATTAAGCAACATTAATTATAATATAATTTACTTAAAATTAGTATTATTATATAGTTTTGTTTTTTTTTTTTGAAACTTATTATAATATGTGAATATAATTAAGCAACATTAATTATTATATAATTTACTTAAAATTAATATTATTATATAGTTTTGTTTTTTTTTTTTGGGGGGGGATGGGAGGGGGCCATAACATTAAGCAACATTAATTATTATATAATTTACTTTAAATTAATATTATTATATAATCATGAAACATAATGTATATTTTTTTTCCAAATTATATTAATATAATATATTAATGTATTTAAAATTCATTTTTTTTTCTTGGAGGGGTAGGTCGGAGAATATTTAGCAACATTCACTATTCTATAATGTATTTGAAATTAATATTGTTTAATATTTGTGAATATTTTTTTTCTACAAATATAATTAATATAATAATATTTTAAATTTTGTTTTTGTTTTTGTGCAGATAGTGTTTAGAATCGTGCTTAGTTTATTTATTATAATAGATTATATTATTAAAATAGCTTTTAATGTATACATATTTTTTTTTTTTTTTGTGACATTATATTTATTAATAGACTCAAAAACTTATATTAGAGTATAATATAATGTGCAAATATTTTTTTATTAATTTTTTTTTAAATAGTGTTTAAGTAATACGAGTATTATTAATATAATATAATGTTAAATATATTTTTTTAAATTTAAAAAGGTAGCTGAAAAAGCAATAGCTAGAAACAGCTAAATACATAGATTTAGACCAGCTCGGGGGAAATTTAACTTTTTTGGCCCGTAATTTCATGGCTGTTCCGTTTAGTCGACCGATATATTTATTTATTCATTAGGATTTTTTTTTTTTAAATTTAAATCTTAAATCATATTTATTGTATCTTGTATTTAATTTTTACGATCTTGATGTTTATATTAATTAATATTATATTCGCCGTAAATAAAATAAATATACTATGCACGAACCGTCTTTGCAAGTAGATGTTTTTTTTTTATTTTCGGTTCGTGATTGTATATATATTTTTTTAACGCGGTTTTTAATGTTAAAAATATAAGGAACTTGCATGGGCGTTATATGCGCCTCTAAAGAATTTTTAGATTTTTTTTGTTAACTACATAAAAACACTAATTCTTCAACTTATATAATTAAAAATAACTCTAACCATCATTATAGGGGTTTCTATGTTGTTTTCTCTGAGCTATAAACATGATAATAGTAATTAATATAACTTTATTCTTCATTCCGAATATATGAGGTAGGCCACCTTTCTTCTAAATTTCCACTTGACCCGATATTTCACATCATCCTCGCACATTCTGGCCGTCCTCATATTATTCGCAATTTTGAGCTCAAATTTTGAAGTTATACCACTGATCAATCTCATCCAACCATCTCTTTTTAGTTAAGCTTGTTTTCATTGCCATTCTTACTGTACTCCAATTTATCTCTCCTCATGACCAGTGCAAACCATTTCAGTCTATTTTCTTTCCTTCCATCCAAAAACCCCTATGCTATCTTTTATACCTAAATAATAACTATACTAACAAAAATCTGTCAAAAAACCTAAAAAGCTCGTCAAACGGATCGCGCTTGTGTATACCTAACCTACATTTGAGGACCATTTAGCATTACCCGGGGGACACCGCGTGGAGGCGGTCCTCATTGTCCCCCAAAAATGTTTTTCCCTAATAACCAATTGTCGACATTTTGCAGAACAGAAAGTTTATCGATATAATGTTACATTATTGATCGTGGACGTTAACAAAAACACGAAAATTCTCGAAAAAATGATTTATATAAATTCGAAATTTCAAACCGATCTCAATCTCTAACTCTTCTTTTCTCTCTATATAAATATATATATTAAAATTAAATTTTTAAAATATTACGTCAACGTAAATTATGTATCATCGTAAATGTAAATCGAATTCATCACTTTTGATTTGATTAGGGAAGTAAAATGCAAAGACAAATAAAACTGATCGAAAGTTTCTAAAGACCTAATTGTATAATAGTTTTTTATTTTATTGTTCTGCAAAATACTCAAGAGTAATATATAATATATATAAAGAGAGAGAGTTGAATGTAAAAAGTAGGCAGGTAAACTATTGAATTATATTAAATTAATTAATATTAAATTTTTAGAATTATTATATTGAATACTAAAAAAAAATATTTAGGGTGAATTTATAGTTGCGAATATTAATTTTAATCAAAAGTTCAGTTACTGTATTATTAAATTAGTATGAAGGAAATTTTCGAAAATTTTAGGTTTATTTTCAACACGGAATTTTGGAAAAAAAAAATTTGACAGTGAAACTGTTAAAATTTATTTCGGTTTATTTTGTTATTAAATATTGAAAGTTTTAATGATGCGTACAATTTTACTCTGTTTAATAATAAAAGTATCGGTATACAAGAAGCACGAGACATAAACAGAACGAGATTATATACAGGGAAATTAATAGAAAAGTTATTCTATTTACTTTAGTATTATTATTTATCAATAATAATAAAAAAAAAAAATATATAAAATCTAATATACGAATTTAGACATGAAAACTAAAAGTTATAATTAAACATTATCAGATAATAACAATTAGCTACATCAAATGAATTTTAAAAATTAAAATTTTTTTTTTTTCTACGTTTAAGTTGTGTCAAAAATCAGTGTCGGCACTATAGGTGGAGCCATCGGGCGACACGTCAGAAAGAGGTTACGTGGGGAATAGTAAATAAAAGCGTTTTTCTACTGTAATATATATTTTTGTATCAATATTATATATTATTGTACTTAACTCGGTTTGCATTGTTGTATGTTATACATAGATATTTCTCGTTATAAATCTCTACGAAAATGTATGTAACCGTTTTTTTTTTCTCGACACTCTCCTTTTACCGAAAAAAAAAAAAAACAATTCAGGTATACGTACACTCACTTTGCGCATAGGCAAGTAGTACAAAGTGTGTAATATTTAACCGTCAACGAGGGGATCGCAAAAGCAGAGCAATATTTTTAACAATATCTGCGCGTATTGTGTATGTTATTATTTGTTTCCTATTGTGTAGTAGAGGTACCCCCATACACAATAACTGACACAACTGTCTCTGGATAATATACTTGGCGATTTCACATCACGATTCGTCAACGTCGAGTAGTAGCAACTCTGTTTTTTTTTTTTAAACCAAATATTATATTTATTATTATTATTATTATTATTGTATTCTTGGGTAATTATTATTTATTCTAGCGCCATATCGTATTATATTGGATTATGATAAAAATAATAATGATAAATTGCTAGTTATAAACATCATAAAACATAATAAATTATAATACCTAATACAATTTTCGATATTAAAATTTATGTGTGCATAATATTTCAGTATAATGTGTTATATTATTCTCTTTTATAAATATGAACGCATAAGTTTTGCACTTTGAAAGTTATGCATCGTAATGAATCACATACACATCATCGTTATATAGATGAAACTTTGAAAATCATAAAAAGCTTTTAAATACACCCCCCACCTCCTATCCAGTTGTATTTTATACCTCAATTAAGCGTAATATTTTATAATATACCTACCACTATGAGAGTAAAACGTGAACAAATTTTTCATATATTATTAAAATGTAATATTTTTCCATTACTAGGGATTATTATATTTTATAACAATATTAAATATTATTATTATTATTATTTTTTTTTAAATTCTTAGCAGAATGAGTAATGCATTTTTATTTAAATAACTGCAATTTATCGTTATTTATGAAACTTGCAATTATTATTTGACTTTCGTAATATTACCGGCACAGTTAATTCAATGAAATTTATTTCTATGGGGAATTGAGCAAATTTTAATATACATTTTTTTTTTTAAATTTGTTTTAGTGATAAAAGACGATATTTGGTGTATGATTCCAAAGAAAAAGAAACTCATCAGAAGCCGCAGTAGTCAAATCGCAGAAAATATCACTAAGACAAAACAAAAGTGTTTAGCTGCAGTATTTTAGAAAAGACTATAATAAACCTATCCAAATATAATGCGAATAGGTATAAAATGCATTCTACGTTTTATAACCTCGAATGTAATGTAGATTTAGCCATAGAAAAAATACTAAGTAATAAATTGCTCATATAATAATGCTCCATACATCCGTTAAAAGTCCGTTGGAAATGAACGAAACGATTATGAATGTATGGGGGACGACGCGAGAAATTGATCAAGTGACCTTTGTTTCAATTGAAATTTACTAAGGATGGGGGGTTATTTTTGTCTTTCATGAAAAAGTTAAAGGCTATACTTGTATAACTCCGAGTTGTAGGACGGCCAACAATGTTTTAGTATACATTATTATATTAATATACGACTCTTATAGTAAATAAAATTTAACCCCTGATTAAATGAATTTCCATATAATATACAGAGTGCGGTGTACACTTCTCGATCTTTATATACCTACTCTTCAAGTATATATAATTAATTTTTAATTAAAACTGCGAATTGCATTTCCGCATATATATATATACATATTATATAGTCACACACCCCGTAATTATAATTTAAATTTCCTACTCGTGTTTCGTTTATCTCAGTCGGAAATTCAGAATTATATGTCTCTAAGACATTGTTGTACCTGTGTTTCTGAATATATACATATATATATATATATAAAAATATAATAATAATAGATTTAGAGTTTTATAATAAAAAATTAAAACAATTTGATTAACTGTGATAATCTATCTACCCTACCCAGATAAACTAGGAAATTGTTTTCTCTTTTAATAAAAAAAACTATTAAGAAAAATAATAAAAAAAAAAAAACGTTCAAAATACACCCGTTAAATCAAAAATTCTACAAGAAAGTTCCTATAAAGTTTTTGATTAGAACAATATTTCTAGTAGAAAAGTTTTTTAACATACACAATATACATATGCCATATATCAAAGTAAAACCAGTATATCCCTCACTTTGCTCAACATCATAAATATACGTTTAAAATTATTATTTTGTTATTTCTGTTTATAATATATAGTGTGGTAAGTATTATTATTATGATTTTTCATTTTTATTTTTGTTTTAATACAGGTACTAATACCAAATTGTGATTAGGTATATTATTATAAGTATATTAAGTATACAGCTTTTTCAGTTATGCATTGTTTCCCATCCATGTAATTATTATAATCGTAATATTAGAAAATGTAAAATAGTTATTAAAACGCGTCGTCTCGAAAATCTTCATAATATTTTCTTAACAAGTGTTTATACGTTAAGGCGTACATTATAATATAGCTCAAATTACAAAACTCGAGTTAAATTTTTCGTGTATAACTATATAAATTAATGGTTTACTTTATGGTAAGTCAAATGCAGATATTATACACTATGAGAGTAGATTAAATATCTACATAAATTCGATACCTAGTAACTAAAAGTTTAAACGTATGCGATCTTATTTTTAATAATATTGTATTCTTTGCTTTTCAGTGTACATTTTATTATACCATGTGTATACACACACTTGGATTTTTTTTTTTTATACAATTATTTCATTAAAAGAATATAAATAAATCGCAGTTTTTTAAAAAAAAAAAAAAAAACTTAATAAACAACTAAAATATTCAGAAACTTTTGATTATAAACAAATACATTACGATTCTATGCGTATGGGAAGCATTTGTTTATAAAATTAGGACCTTTGAGAATGAATTAGTCCTGCGTTATTTACTGCATTAATCCGGCTCTGGGCATACCCGTTTACTATATCGAATCTCTTGCATCGTCTTCACTTAGCTAATTTGTATAGAGAAAGAGGGGAGTAAGAATTTTAAATAATTGATTTCTCTTTTTGTTTACTTATAGTAGTTGTTGCATTTATATTTGAATATTTTAAGGAAATTTTCCTCGAATAAGATTGAATTATTTCTACATACGTCCGATACATCCCACGTAAAACGTTCCATTTTTATTATTGTAAAATTTAGTAATTCCGAATCGATTATTCTTAATTCATAGTCAAATGAGATTTGTTTTCCAAAATATTCGTGAAACTTAAATATTGTATTATGTATATGAAAAGGAAAAGTTTTTGTAGTGGTTTCATTTTTGTGTCAGACGTCGGTATACTATAATTTATTATCGTTATCTACCTATTGATGTTTTTTCACGAACATATAATCGAATAAATTATTATACTGTTCGTAAAAATAACCGACTTATCGGGCCTTATAACTAGGGTAGTTTTGTTTTATTTTTTATATATATTATGTACCTAATGGTCTTTTTATAAATTGTTATTTATATTATTTTATTAGGTACCCTGCAGTGTTATTATATTGCTCAACATTAGGAATATCGCTATAATTTAAATTTTCACCGCATTAGGTATTAGGGAAGAAAAAAAAAAATTCTTAATAAAATGATTGTAAATTGTGTAAAATATATAGGTAGTAGGTATAGACTATAGATTCAAAACATGAATAATTTTAATAATGATCATTGTCACGTCAATTTTCCAGGTGATTTATGATGTGAAACAGACGTTGCGGTCACAAGGGGACAGCGTGGAGGTTTCCGAAAAGCCGCAGGGTCAGACGTCACTTAACGGGATTCGCGCGGTCGAGTATCTATTATTATTATTATTATTATTATTATTATTATTATTATAACGATATGACGATCGTTTTGACGTCTTATTAAAACCCAAAGACAATACAATTATTGTAGGTACAGGTATTTACCGGAGGGTATACCGCGAGGTAAAAGACAGTAATTAATTTACGGCAAATCCGCGGGGGGCCTTTTCGATTTTCTCCCGAGTAAAGCGAAACGTTGGAAACGTAATTTGTTTTAATATATATATATATGAACATAGAATACTAAAATATCCGAGCTCAGGGTCTTCCCGGGAGATGCGCAGACGTTTCTTAACGGTGACAATTATTATTATTATTATTGTATTATAATATAAGATGGCGGCTTTGTGTCACTTAGTGAGTGACAGGAAAGAAAAATGACAGTTTTATAATTGAAAAATTTTAATCGTCTGACCGTTTTTTTATAATACATATATATATATACAAGTTAGATTTTGGGTTTTTGATTGCAAATAAATATGTATATTTTATTTAAAATTTTAACATTAACGCTCAACGTTTGACGAATTTATTAAAATATTTCAGAAGTTACAAGAACAGTTTTAATAGGCATCTGTTACCGAAAATGTTGACGTTTTAGGAAATGTGATGAAACGTTACTTTAATATGGTTAGAATATACAATGATATCATCGTGCCTAGTAAACAATATTATCGAGTTTATTAGTACGTTAATGTTACCGCGCATCGCGTTTTAAAGTTCATTTAAAATTTTATATTGAAAATATTTAAAAATAAAAAAAAATAACCCTTGTGTGAAAACATAATACTATGTCCTATTTAATTTAAATAATTTTTTGAAAAAAATATTTGAATCCGAACCAGATTTCGGACACTGCTTCAGAGTTTTAAAAAATTATTCGATAAAAAAGAACTGTAACGGTTCGCGTAAAATGTATTATTATTATACAATGCAAACAGCAGCTTTTCTTTTTTTAGATTTAAAGAGAAGCAAGGATGTTATTAGTATTTCAACGATATCGCGTGTGTGCAATGTATTTATTTTCCTTCAAAAACTTTTAGGAGTACACTTAAGTTTACATAATATAGGTAACGACGTTAAGGCGATAGATAATGGAAAACGAATGTAGCCGGTAGCTAGGTATCTACATTCTACTTTAGAGAGGCTACTTTTTTCGATTTGTCCAGTAGACATAAAATATATATAATGCAATTTCCAAAGATGTCCACAGTGTCCGAACGAAATAAATAATCGATTTAAGTTATTTTGAAATTATACAGAGAAAATAAATTGCGCTCAGACTCCGAATAGTTTTTCGAATGCAATTACTTATATGGTCTCTTTCAACGCGGTTAGATAAAAATTACATCCACGCCAGCACATTCACGTAAGTAATGACATTTTTTTTTTTATAATACATTTAACGTCAGCCAGTTTGTGGGTCGAAAGAAAAACCACACACGTAATGTAAGTGTTTAGGTACCATTATACGATTTTTAAAAAGTGATGGGCACAGACATAGAAAAAAATCCCAAACTTATTTGTAAAACCAATATTAGCTATAGGTATACGTCCCTGTCACCGCTTGCAAAATCTAAAATTCCAATTTTCGGGCGAGGTTCGAAATAAGTAAGCCCACAACACAGACTTCAACGACATGTTATAAACTCGCTTCGGTGAATTCGTGAATTGTTTTTTTTTTTTGTTTGTTTTATATATAGCCTGCAGTATTGAAATAATGATGTTTAATCTGTGTACTTACTTAATAGAACTCTACACTTTCTGTTGTCCGGAGGCGAAGGAAGAAGAAACCTTTTAGCCAAAGATCGAACAGTCGACCAAAATAAATACCCAAACATAATATAGGACATGCAATAATTAAGGACGGTGAACACTGGATAAATACCATAAACGTTTATATTTGTACACCCTTCGGTTATTTACCCAATCGGTACTCCGGACTCGGTCACACGCCTGCAGTCAAAAAAAAATCATCAAAAATAATGGAACGACGTCAACAGCAACAAAAACAACATCAAAAACAACAACAGCGACAACATTATTGTTATTAATAATAAATAATGGAATATTATATATATTTAATGTTGTGGTTGTTGTTGTTATTATTACTCTCGACGGGTGACCATTAACTTGTTTGAAAAGTTAATTTGTTAATATAACCATATAACCTTAGGTAGTTAATTTTTTTTTTCCGCAACCGTTAACCGGTAGATAGTATAATATAGTTTTTGATGATGTATAAAAAATAAAATATGATATTTTTATTATAAGAAATAATAAGACTATGTACCCGGCCTTACATTAAATACATCGTTAAATATTAATATCTATTATATTAACTCGACTGGTTTAATATTTTTGTGTATACAATGTATAGACGCGACTTTTTACAGTTTTTTTTTTTTTATAAAGTCTACAGTTTTTCATCTTTGTTTAAACGATTTTTTTAATCTAATCTAACTTTAAACTGGTAGACTATAGTAGTTGTATTTATATTATGTAGTATGTGCAATAAATAATCATATATAATAGCTATAAAGTGTGTTAAATAATATTCAAACGCTGTGTGTTTCACGAAATAAATGTATATTTCATTGAACAATATTGAAATTTTTATTTTTACTTATTTATAATTGATCGTTTTGTTCAACGTAAGTTTTGTTTAAAATAATATAATTACAATATTATGTACCTATTCATACGGTAAAATGCGGATTATTTGAAATGTGACGCGAATATCGTATTTGTTTGTCCATATAGTCTTACAATATTACAGCGTTTAAAAAATGAACGGACTTAATTTGACAAAAAAATATTGCAGAACTGTATATAAATATAATATCAGAAACCAAATCTCAGATGCGTATAATGAAATAAAAATAAAAATGTTAATCCCTTCCGAAAAAGTTCACTATGGTTCCCCTCCTATTTTTGTGATGGATCTATTGGAGATTATTCAAGGAGGTTTTGGTACCTCACTCCTTATATCTACATCTACCACTGCTTCTTTCTCAAGTTTAACAGGATAATAATTCTGCAGTTTTTTATTAGCTGTCGTTTTTCGCGGGTAACGTAATTTTATATATTTTTGTACTTCGGCTCGGGGAAAAACAAATATCATAATATTAAATCAATATACAAAAACCAAACCCTTTGTATAAATAAAAATAATGACAATATACTCTTTTTTTTCCGCTTTCGATATTCGTGATTATTTAAAAAGCACATAATACAATAATCCCAGATTAAAAGGGACCGCGCGTGGGAAACAAAAGCGTAGGACCCAACCTCCGGACTCACAAATGATGTCCCGTATTTGATATCTATATACGATAAAATAACTTTCAGTAAGTGATGTTCTCGATTATTGGGAAGGGTGAAGCAGGAGTTCTTTAAATATTTCTAAAGGTTTTAAGTGTATAAATAATACGAGTAACAACAATATTAAATAAAACTTAAAATCGTAGCACCTTGCACAAAGTAATCCTTATTTGAACTGCAGATGAAAAAACTAAACAAATACTCTCCTCCCGTAACAATATGATGAAATTTAACCCAACTTTTAACACTTCTCGAGTTAGAGCTCATTTAGTTTAGAGGGAGTTACTAAAAGTTCCCAAAAGTAGCGGAAAAACAAAAGAATAATGCATTATGGTCTGTGACTATTCGAATTTAGTCCAAGCTGAAACTTCATCGAATTGGTACAACCTACTTGTCGGTTCAAACCCGCTATTGCTCTAAGGAAGTTAGTGTCCTAAGTGTAAATCTAAAACTAGTCGATAAAGAATCACCAACGAGTTGCGTAGACCGTTTTAAATGTTTTATCTGATTCGAATACCTATGCGCCTGTAAATATATAAAATATAATATAATTTATATACTTACCGTAAGACGTCGTCGATATCGCCGTTGACACTAAACGCCTACCACGTTTATCTTCAAAAGTTTATAATTTTACCAACGTATTCTATACGTTTTTTGAACAAGGTCTAAATACCATCACCGTATTAAGTTGTACCGGATTTATAAGTTCAGTGGCGTACCCTTAGGAGGGAGAGGCATAAACAAAGGTAAATTTACCCTTAGAGACTTATTTTTTTTACATAATGTGATATAAAACCCAATTTTACAATATTACTTGATTCAAACAGCATTTCAAAATTACCCTGTTTATTGGCAAAGCTGTATATCATTAAAATACGTTATAATGATGGCAAATGGTAAATTCACATATCTATATACTATTAAAAATCTTTTTATTTTTTAGACTTTTGAAACAAAATATGCTTGCTTTAAAAGTCTGACCACGCCCCCCCTCCATCATGTTATCCTGCAGATGCGCCACCAAATCTTTCATTTTCTTTTAGAACACAGGTATAGACACATAGACAGGTTCATGGGCGCCCGAAGAGGGATAAAACAGGAAATTTATCCTCCCTGGACTTCAAAATTTCAAATATAATTTTAATAAATTAGATAATTTATATCATTTTCTTATACTTTTTGGTGTTTGATTTTATTATCTCCTCTCTATATCGACCTGGTCAATAAAGGGCCCGGGCAGGTTCTTATTTAGAGTTAAAAAAAAAATTGCATTTGAAACTTTACTAAGACACCGCTTCTCCCTGATAAATTTTCTGCGGGCGCCCATGGACAAGTTAGACGATAATTTAGGTAAGACACGCAGATGTCATATTTTTGAAAAAACTCAACACACGGATTTCCAATATAATATTGTTTATTTTGATTAAAATTTATAATAAGCACACAAATCATTGCGAGACAATAGAACGCCTATTTTCCGATAATAATTAAAATCTAACAAAAGCATCCTGAAAGTTCTACTACGAGTATTACAGTATACTGTAATATTCGTAATGTTACTAACAGGGCTCGAGACGTATAACGCTTGCATAATATTATTTTCTTAGGTGGGTATTTGAAATTATATCATATTAAAGTGATCCTGGTACAAATTTAGTTTAAGGAATCAAATCATAAAGAAATGGGTTCGTAATTTTGTTATTTTTGATATTTTCATACTAATTTTAACGCACTTTTTCAGGATCTTTTTTTTTTTAGCATCTTCTATAAGTCTTCAGACCTCATCATTAATATGATTGGTACTTATATATATCGCACAATATAGACACCTCTATGATTGTTGTATTTGTGCGACTTTTAAAGTTTTAAAACAAAATTCTCGAGGGATATAATTAAACTAAATTTTTTTTTTAGCATCTGCTGTAAATTTTCAGACCTCATCATTAATATGATTGGTATTTATATATATCGCACAATATAGACACCTCTATGATTGTTGTATTTGTGCGACTTTTAAGTTTTTAAAACAAAATTCTCGAGGGATATATAATAAACTAAATTTTTTTTTTAGCATCTGCTGCAAATTTTCAGACCTCATCATTAATATGATTGGTATTTATTTATATCGCACAATATAGACACCTCTATGATTGTTGTATTTGTGCGAATTTTAAGTTTTTCAAAATTTAAAAAGAATGCTCGTGCGATATATTTTAAATTACTGCTGTAAGTCTGCAGACCTCATCATTAATATGATTGGTACTTATTTATATCGCACAATATAGACACCTCTATGATTGTTGTATTTGTGCGACTTTTAAGTTTTTAAAAATTTTGAAAAAATGCTCGAGCGATGTATATTAAATTAAATTTTTTGTTTTTCTACTATTTGTCCGCATAATATAATATTAGACGTCCGCGCGGACGGTTGATCGACATTCGGATAATCAGCGTTCTATTGTAACACTACAAATAATAATGCATTATAATATTATTCGAATATAATTTAAAATATTTCATTGAAGAGTAAGCGCATTGCATTGATTGCAATTGAATTGTTCTCGTTAAGTATATAATATTATGGTTATATTATATATTTTATTGAGATAGATAAAAGCATTATGTTGATATAATTTGCGTTATGCATATAATAAGCATATAATAATATTAATAATAGTTTTATAGATATATGTATTAATTATTTTGCGGAAATCACGCATTTTGCAAGTATAATTTTTTTTTTTGAGTATATAATATTAGTTTTAAAAGTGCATTAATAGCGATATTGTAAATTTTGAATACAATATTGTGCATGAGTAATATTATTATATAATATGATTTTTTGTAATATTATAGTTTAATTTGTGATATTATTAGTGAATAGTGAATAAATAGGAATAATAATATTAATAATAAAGAAGAAATTTTTTTTTTTTTTTGTTGATGCAGATGTTATACATGCTCCCGTTATCTTAAAAAAAAAAAAAACAAACAAACAAATAGTCATTATATAAACAAAATGAGAACTCGCACTGTGTAATGTTGGTTTAATTTGTATTTATTATTAATTTTATTTAACAAATGTGTTTGACTAATTAAAAACAAAATATTTATTTATTTATTTTTATCCGGTGGTAGAATATTTTATTTAAACACATCAAAAATCACTTTATTACATTTCATTCCCCCTCCCTATTTATTTTTCATGATGGATTACCGTGGTAACACGGAGGAAAATTGAAAAGGTTAATAATATTTTATTCGATTGTCGTGGACAAAAGGCACGTTTTTGAACAATATTTTATACTTAAATAACCATATTTTTATAATTAGTGCCGCAACAATAATTGGACGTGTAAAATGTGTGCCTCCGCATAGGCGGCCAACTCTGTAATATGTTAAAAATACCGGTATCTAGCTAAAATTTAAAAATTGTCTTATTCAAATGCATTGATTTTTTTTTTTTTTGTTTTTTTTTTCTATTATTATTATTTTTTTTTTTTTTAGCTATTATTTTCAAATTTTTGGTATAGTTTAATTAAATTTATCAATTCTCAAACGATTATTTCGCGTAAGTTTTACCTAATATTATAACTGTATTGTAAAGTATCATTAAATAATAATATATTGTACTCACTTGGTTCCATCATATCCGAGGCCGAGGCTGGAAATCAACCTCTATGACGGTTAACGGAAGTCCTGGTGCCGAGGCTGCTCTTCCACCATATATGCGCTGTGGCCGCTTGAATTGCTTCGCGCAATGATGGCTTGGTGATTAGGAGTGCAACAATCAACAACAACAAAATCATGTTTGTTCAAATGAATCACTTGGACAATGAAATAATATGGACTACGCAGGTTATCTTCTATTATGCTACTGAACGCTGACAATGCGCTTTGCAATGTCTTTGCTCGACTATTTTTAAACACGTAAACTTGCGTCACGGCAGGAGTGCTCGAAACGTGTCGACGGCGATCCGGTCAATTATCGGTTCGTACTGTGCTTCGTGGGATTTATTACTTGTTGCTGTGTTTCGGCGAGACAATCTTCTTAGACAATCTCTTAATTCTTTCGAATTTGTTGAGTGATGGCGAAGGATTCGGCGAGCCGCTGCTTATAGAACTCAGTGTCTCGAAACGTATTGGCGAGGCACTTGGACCCGGTGTTGGGGCACGAGATTGTACGGGCGTTGGAACGTAAGAGCTCGGAGGCGAATCCGGAATACCGAACAAGCTATTGAAAGTACTCTTAACACAATCTTTGAACTTGATGACTTTTTCAAAGATCACTTCACACACCGCATATGCACTATTCGGAAATACTCGTCGCCGAGGACGAGAAGCAAACCCGCCGAAATTCATGAGTCGACCGCGTTTTTTTCCGTTATGCCTGCCGAGCGCTCGCTCGGGCTCTTTTATAGACGCGCTGCAGACGCGCCGCCGCCGACGACGCTTGCGGTCTCTGTCAGCCGGCCTTTAAGTCGACTATTGGCCCGCACCTAGCGCTCCGTAATTCTCTCGTATATTTATATACATGTATATACGTTTATATAAACTTATATATGTTTATATAAACGTATATATGTTAGCGCCAATGCACGGAGTTCCGAAATTCCATTAAATAACTAGCAGTTTTATAGATTTACGGACACTTTCAGTTAATGTGTCAAATGAACACAAAAAAAATGCACTTCAACTAGTTATTCCACATACTAAAAGTAGATATTTTTTAAAATAACAGCAACGGTTTAATTAATGTATGTAAAATTATTATCGCATAAAATATTAATATCCACTTTGAAAAAGTTTATTCAGATATTTGTACAACGTCGACTTGTCAGAATTATTAGATAATTTGAGTATTTAACAAATTGAAAAAAATGACGAAATAAGGTCCTACATTATTACATAGTTTTTAATCGTTAGTACACTAGGGCTCAAATTAGAAAAAATCCGATCGGTGTTCTATATTGTATTAACTATAGCAAAACCGCGTAATTAACATATTAACGAGCGTATTTAGGAATCTCATGGAACAACTAGTTATTTAATAAATTAACGTGTTACATACGTTACCGCTAACACATATATATATATATATATAAATGTATATATATATATATATATATACTAATATATATATACATACGTATATATAGCTAACCGGGCGGCGCGCGCGTGCGCATACCGCGTATCACGCACGAACGTCAACGAATTCGACAAGCAGGCGTATATTGCGTTGCACGGTGGGCGGCGCAATAGGTCTCCCGCTGTGTGTTATTTTTTTTCGCTAGGGTACACCCCCCGTTTCTGCGAAACAACAGCTACAGCATCGGCGGCTGAGGCGGCGGCGGCGGCCCTTTCCGCGCACCGCCGTCGCCGTGCGTCCGTCGCTATTTCATTACGTTACGCGAAATTTAACGGGGCATTTAAATTGTGACGTGGCGTTCCGGTCCGGCCGTTCGTAGAAACAGAAAAAAAAACCACACAACAACGCAATAATAATTTCCGTATCGTTTTCGAAAAAATAATTGCCTTCCGATTTGTCGTGCGCCGCGCACCGCGTTAGTCGATAAGTAACCCGCATACACGCGCGCATTATTATTATTATTATTATTATTATTATGTTATTTGTGTTTTAATCCCCGGCATAACTAACGTGCGGCTGGAGCTTTGTGCGGGATCGCAGTTCCACCCCTCCCGCGCAGTGCCACTATTTTTTTTTTTATTATTATTATTATTATTTATTCAACAAAACAAACAATTAATGTAGTATAACAGTTTACTTAAAAGTATTTGTTATGAGAGCATATAATATGCTGTTACGTTTATTTCGTATTTGAAATGCGTATCCACGAACAATAATTTGTCAATCGCGGAGCACCTAAAATAAACGGTCCCGTTTTGGATTCTGAGCGAAGCGAGGTTTGATGCATTCGTTTTACTATGATGTGTGTGTAATGTGGTTTTTTTTTCTTTTAACATTTCGTACGTATTTGGTGCATTGAAGGGGTCATTTTTCGATTTTTTAAGCGTTTTCCATAACAATTCGGGAAAATTTATAGGAACACAGATAAATAGGTGTAAAATTTAATGCGCTAATAATATTTCATTACTTTACATTTTTACGTTTTTGTTTTCTACCAGAAATCTTGCTCCGAATTTCAAGAATAGCACCGTTCGTTTCTGGAAAAAAATATTGTCTAGTTGGTGAGCAAAAAGTTGGTTTTTATTTTTCAAGCAGTTTTCATAATAACTGATAAAAATCGAGGGAACACGTAGAAAATTCGGAAAAGTTTACGGCATTGTCACTTTTATGATTTATCAATTTTGTTTTTTTATTGTTCATCGGTTAAAAATAATTACAGAGACCTACAATTTTTACAGAATAAAATAATTTTTAAATTTCAAATTTCAAATTTTTTAAATATAGTCATTTATATCCGTTTGACATTTTCAAATTTTCATAGTTTTTATTAGGTTGGCATTGTGTATACAAACTATTTGACTTATCAGATATGATGCTTAAATATTTAATACAACGTCAAAAGTGGCACTTAGTGGTAAAAAAATAAAAGAAAAAAAGTTGAAATGTTATTATAAGCGTTTTAATGTTAATTTTTTTTCACAATTTCTCACAGAGTATTATAATACATTTAATACATAATCAAAACCGTTAAATAGTTTATGCTTAGAGCTTAATAATATTCGTTTATAACTGAATCAAAACCATTTAGTGATATTATAGTATAATTATTACACTCAGTTATCTAAGTAACAGATAGTCCTATTGGGAATGAATTGATTATAACGGCTTTGAAAGGGCTGGGAACGTTTTTCCCAATTTTCGTAAAATTAAAAAAATTACCTGTTCCCTTTTAACGACCATCTTAAGAGAACGCTATACCCGCATATGCCGTCTCACTCCAACTAACGGGCGATATAGCAAAATCTACGTTGCGCAGTCTGCGTAGATCTCGCTTAATTTTGGTTTTAGAGTAAAAGCGTCCATTATAAAATTAAAAGAGGACAATATTCTGGAAGGCGAGACGATGCGTATTTCCTATTATTCTGGTTATAGCGTTCAATACATCGTTAAAAAATGAAACCTAATTTATTTTTTTTGAACTACTGTAAAATAATAAAGGATGAGTTTTAAAAAAGAAACACATCGTCGTGCCCTCCGAAATATTTTCCTATTTTAATTTTATAATAAGTGATTTTACTCTAAAACCAAAATCAAGCAATTTCTATGCGCAGACTGCGTAAGGTAGATTTTCCTATATCACATGTTGGTCGGAGTGAGACAGCATATGCGGGTACAGCTTTCTCTTAATAATAATACTTTTCCACTCATCTGCTGGCCGACACCCATTTAAGGGAAAATGGTACGGCCGTTTTTACGGACGAATATAATATACTGTTTAAGTCCAACAATAGGGGAACAATATTTTAGAATAGTATAAAAACTTTATTTTCCAATGGCCGATTTCGATTTTTGAATTGTTTATGAACACTTTGACAAATTGTTAAAAGCCGATTTTTCGATTTAAAATTTGATGTATCCGAAATAAATACGAATGTTGCACGGAATTTTCAAAATTATAATTTCAGTTGTCTGTAAAACTTCAAATTAAATATCAACTTCCTTAATAATATAGAAAATAATTGAACAAACTCATACGTACATTGAAAATTAAAATCGGACATGGGGAAGTACATTTTAATTTACCACCGCTTATTATTATTCTAAGTATAAAAATTAAATGCGTTCAAACAATAATTTCATTTTATTCTCTTATGTGCTTTGACTCTACAAATTAAACATCTATTTTATGTTTAAATTTCGCCTTTTATTATAAGGGTAGGTATTTAATTTTACGACTCCCTATGGAGAAATTAATTTTCATATACCTACATGCAATGTACTTAAACTTAATTATCATGTACAGTGCTATATAGATTCTCCGGTTTCAAAGTTTTATTTTACGCATAAATTGTTGTTATACAATGTTACACAAGTTCATTATTGTTAAACAATGTACAGTTATAATGTAATAATGTATGTTAAAAACAAAATGTGTGTACATGTAGTGTTGTATATTATATTTCTTATAATATAAATTTGTTGGGCCTGTGTTCAATTAATTATAACAATAAAATTAGTGCTTTAACCTCGTTACAAAAACGTTGAACGTTTAAATATTCTTGAATTAAGATAATATTATTACAGATACAGCAGTCTGTAATCGCATTCTGTAATCCATTATTATTATTACGATTAGTTTTCAATTATTGACTCTATATTTCTTTTCTCTGAGCTTAAACAAATTACTAAACATCACGAATTTAATTAAAATAAAAAGTTCACGCATTAATATTTTCAGAAAATTAACTCTATAAAATAGCTTTCTTTAAATTACAAAAAAAAAAATTAAAAAAATTAATTTTTTTAAAGTTTTTATTAAAGCATAAAAAATGAATCGTAATATAAATATTAATTGCAGTCCTTATCCCTGTGAATAATATAAAAAGAAAAAATAGAATTTGATTATCTTTATATCTCTGGAGATATTACAATGGGTATACCTTCGTAGGACAAACTGTATACAAAGTATGATAAAAGATAAAGATTGATCTAAAATAAGACGAACATACTTCACACTTGGGTGGGCCACTGTTGTAGGTGAGAAGTTAAGAAGGTAATAGAAGGGAAATTTAATGTATATCTGTACGCAACGATTAACCATTGCTAACGAAAACAAATTCTGAGCGGAGATGGGTTGATATTATTGCTTTGTTAACAATATATAGGTCATATTATGGCAAAATAATTACATGTTATATGCATTATTTATTTTCTTGAATAATATTGAATCTGTTTTCCCTATTTATTATAAAAAAATCCGGGAAAATCAAAAAATAACCCGCCCCCCTCAAAGTACCACCCCCGTCTGTAAGTATTATTGTAAAACTAATAATATATTCGTCGCGTCATTTTAAAACACATAAATTTATTGATGAAAACAAAATAAATTTCCTCACTATGCTCAGAATCTAAAATTTTTTAAGATGAATATATTTACCATTACTCACTATAACTGGTCTCGTGAAATTAATTTAGGCACTCAAAAATTGAAATATTTCATTTGTTGAACGACTATGTGTAGCCACACCGACAATGATTTCTTTGTCATGATCACGAGACAATTCAACACAGTACAAAAGTATTAATGGTTTTTAACGATTAAGACCAACTGGAAAAATATTCCATTTCAAATATGATATAATTTGAAAGTGAACTAATTAGCGAAAATGTAGGGAAGTTCTGAACAACACAATATTAATTATTGTCACAATAC